CTGTAGGTCCACCCAAAAGATATAAAGATGACATGACAGTAAAGTCTTTTGTGTGCCCCTCCATGTGTAGTTTTAGGGGTGACCAAAGTTTCAAAAGTCAAACCTTTTTTCCCCAAAGACTGCAGTCTGAGAAAGACAACTGCTAACTCTAAATAAGAAAGTATAAAAAAATATGCTTCAGTTCCCTTTTATAAATATAATAAGAGCATATATTGTCCCGATATTACTGCTTCGAAAAGCTAATTCTGTTTTGTTTTCTTCATACAGGCCTAGATAAACAGTGGCATGCAGACACTAATTCCAAATATCTATCAGTTATGAAAGTAAATTAAGTTTTAACTAATACATTCGTGACCACAAGACTACAGATACTATACACCTAGTTATTTGGATCTGCTTCTTTCTAACACTTAAAGTATGCTGGAAATAATCACTCATACTGGATACATTTTTTCCCAACTGTTCTCCTTGATGATTGTCACTTCCAGCTGAATTTCCATTACTGAAACGTCAATAAATAACAAAATGAGAGTCCAACTGTTTAGCCCAAGGATCAAATGTACACAGATACTGATATACAACTGCAATAACATGGTATTTCTGGCAAGAAAATGCTTTATCATGTCTTGCTCTGACTATTAATACATTCTTGAATATACATACAAAAGTTTGAAAGTCTACATTAAAATGTGGCAACATCCAAAATATTTTTTCTATTACTATAACAAAAACAGACACCATGATTTACAGAACAATTAATACCATAATAAATGGGAATAATCTAAAATCATTACAATATCAAAACCACAAATTTCTTATATGTAATTCAAGAAGATAACCTAGAATGTTCTCTCAGAAGTCTTAATTTTTCATTATTTCTAATAATTCTAGGCAATGTCAATGATTTAGTTAGAGATTACTTACAAAAACACAGGTGCTCAAAAATACTGTATTTCACTATATTGGTGGTTATAAATAGCATACTGTACCTCAGTAAATTGTTTAAATTGAGATACATTTTACTCTAATATTATTCTATTCTAAATTTTAGCCCTAAAGCTTGCCAATCCGCAACATTTGAAACATATTTTGCTACTAACAAGCCAACACATTTTAACTGGTTGAAAAAAAGGACTTGCTTT